TCAACAGCAGCAATTGTAATGTGTGTACAATGTGTGTTTCTGTTTGTATGTGGCAGATTGCATTTTCCAAAATGACTGTACCAACATATGTTGCATCCCACTTGCTCTTTGTAAAATGTGAATGGGATTCCTCCCATTGAGAGAGAGGTCGTCTGTCCCCTTCTCTTACATCTTGGAAAGCCCAATGGGTAAAAACATGAATTAGAAAGTTACCATTCTAGGACTGGTACAGGTGGTGGCAGGCAAGAGGTGCGGAACCCCATAGTAAGGGCATTCAGTAAGAAATGACTTGAATAGTTTATTTATGCTTAATTTATATCTGGTGCTTAACTTTGAAAATGCTTTTTCTCACATGTGGTAGTATTATTAGCAAGAGCCCAAATTGTTGCTGTTAACGCATACTTTTTTTTGGTTTTGTTTCTGTGTTTACCTGAATTCTTAGAATTATATTTCATGTGGGAGAAAAAACCTGGCCATGTTGTATACACTAAGTAGCTGAGTGCCTAGTCAGGCATACCCTCACAGAATTTCTCTAGTGGAATACAGAGAACCATAAGGGTCTTTTTGTTGTTTTTTTTCATAAGGGTCTTAAAATGAGCCCTCAGGCCTATGGTTGTTGCTAAATATTTATAACTCTAGAAATAAAATTTGAGGATATTTCTGGCCTCAAAATAAAGTAAAAGTTATATGGCATGAAGCTGAAGAAATAGGTTAAACTTTTAAGAGAGAAATTCTAAAATATAGGTAGATATTATTAAGAGAATTTAGTCAGAAATTTGAGTATGATGTGTACCTCCATTGCATTAATGTTGTTATACAAAGTGTTTAATGTTGCTTGTATGTGTTGAATATAGAATGGCAGTAGATAAATATATCAAGAGCAGAGACTTTGGTGCCTGAAGGACCTCGGTTCAGTCCTAGGGTCTGCCACTTATTAGCTGTGTGACTCTTGTCAGATTGTTTAACCTCTCAAAGCCTATCATACCTCATGTATAAAATGGGGAAAGTAATCGTTCCTATTGGTGTTGTGAGAATTGACTGAGATAAAGTAGATAGTATGTTTTGCATAGTATTTGGCATATCATAAGTGCTCAATAAATGTTATTTTATACTGGCTGGGAAAGTATCTGTTTTGCTATATAAAATTTAAGAGGAATATTGAAATATATTTTTGTTACTTTAAGGAAATTCGCAATGAATCCCATGACTATCCTCATAGAGTGGCCAAGTTTCCAGAAAACAGAAATCGAAACAGATACAGAGATGTAAGCCCATGTAAGTACCTGTGGGTTTGTGTGCATATGTACGTTTGTTGGTTTATTTCAGGAGGCAGGATAGATACCGTGAAAAAAAAAGGTTTGGGGTCAGGGTTAATAAGTACGGTAATTTTTTTTCATATTAACATAATACACATTCTTGAAAGAAAAATTTCAAGGCATAGAATAGTAGAAGGAAAAAAAATTGTAGTTATTTCATCCACACAGCTATTAGTTTGATGTATTTCCTACCAGTTTTTTTCTTATGTATAATTTTTCTTTTAAAATAATTGTAATCATGTATGTGTGTATGTGTAGTTTTATATATATATATATATATGCTTGCTTTTCACATTATTTCATAGCCTTTATTAATATTACTTAAAATATTTATTGTTATATTGTTTCTTTTCTCCAATATTACAAAAATAGTATGTGCTTACTGTTACTTTTAAAACATAGAAATGTATAAAGGAAAAAAACCCCACAATTTAAAAACAAATAAAAATTTTTGGGTTTATATTTTTTTGATATTTTTTTCTGTATTAGTGTAAATTTATATACATAAATTCAAAATTAGAATCTTACACATACTAATTTGTAGCTCTTTTCCTACTTAGCAGTACACTGTAAACATTTTCCTATCATAAACAGTCTTTTCAAATGGCAGTGATAGTGCCTTTGATATGCCATTCTTTTATGTAACAGTTCCCCTTTAGATTCCTGTGTACACACACATGCGCACACAATTTGGTGAATAATTGTAATATCAGGGTTTTTAAAATATGTTCATGAGGTGATTTTTTTTTTTGTTCTAATTGATACCACTTGTTCAGATATTAAATTGGGCTGTCTTACAACTCCAAAATGTTTCCCCATGTTTGATTTTAGTGGGCTAAACATCTCTTTGGGGCTACTTGTTAATAGAAACTGTTTTATAAACATTGAATCTGTTGCATTTTGGTTTCTGCTCATTCATGGTTTTTTCCTCTAGCTGATGAGGGTATTGTGCTAGGTACCAAGGCCTCTTGTATTGGCTGAATAATCTTAACTCTGCTCAAGGCCACAGACTATACCTTCATAGACATTGTATTCCTTGTTAGGTGGGTATGGATATACCACTGAAAATCTATCAGTTACCAGGGAAAAAGTGCATACTTTTATTTTTGTATGAGCAAAATGGTTTTCTTTATGTTGACTACATTTACAAGAACAGTGTATTGGCTGATTTTGGACAAATCAAATGAGAAGTAATCTCTTAATATATTTCATGTTTATTATAAATTGCTTATTAAATATTAGGTTTATCTTACTTGCTTTTTTCCTTGCCAATTAGAAGTGTTTGTAAAGATAAGTAGCTAGACGAGAGTGGTTTTCCATTCTTTTTCAGTTGCAGCACACTTGAAGATATGACAAATTTCTTCTGAAACCTGTGGCTCAGCATGGCAACAGTTCTGGTGTAGGTGTGTGTTCAGGGTATGGGTATGGAGGTATGGGCAGTAGTTCTAACACTTAGGTACCCTTCCACCACCCTCCACCCCAAATTTCTGGTTGAGAATCGCTGAGCTAGACAGACTGATTCTCTAGTGTTTGCCCTGAGTTTTGAGACAGTATTTTCCAGTTGTACACCTTGCTTTGTTTCTTTTAATTAAAAAGAAACCCTTTTTATTTTGATAATTGTAGATTTGCGTGTAGTTGTAAGAAATAATACTGAGATCTTGTATACCCTTCATTCAGTTTTCCCCAGTGGTAGCATCTTGGATAACTATAGTAAGGTACATGACCAGAAGATTGACCTTGATACAATCCATCCAGTTTTACATGCACTCATTTGTGGATGTGTTTAGTTCAGTGCAGTTATATCACATGTGTATTGTCGGAAAAGTCATGACGCAGTTTTGTAACGAAAAACATAGAAAAAATACATCATGACTTTTCCGACCACCCAATAGATTTGTGTGATCTCCTCACAGTCCGAATATAGACCAGTGGAATGGTTCTATCACAAGGTCCCTCCTACTACTCTTGAATAGCCACAGCCATCTTGCTCCTTTACTCTATCCTTCAACCCCGTGTTGCCTTTAATTTTTACATATCTGTTGTAATTGCAATCGTTGATTGTGATTAGCTACATTTGCATCCCCTCATTAGTTTTATCAAATTGATGTAAATGAAGGAATTTTTACAAATCAGAACTGATGTATTTGTCAGGTTCAATCTAGGATTAGTTACATTTCAGTTCTGTTTACTCTGTGGCTATATGTTTTAATTACCTCACAAATGATCTGGTTATTTCTGGCATTTGTGAACTTTTAGTTATTTGAGGAGTTGCTCAGAATAAATAATTTAAAATTTTATTGTTGAATGAAGAGAATTTTTTTAAACTTGGAAACATGAATAATTTCTGTAATAACTTTTATTTTATTTTATTTTTTTTAGTTTAGCCATCCTGCCACCTGTTGGCAGCTTCGCTCAGGCTGGGAATCAAACCGGCGACCCTCTTGCTCAGAGTTTGCACTCTTGAGCGAGCTCTTAACCAACTGAGCCACTTGGCCGGCCACTGTAATAACTTTTTTTTTTTTTAAGATTTTATTGGGGGAATTGGGGGAGGGGAACAGACAAGTTGCTGTCCTTTTGTTCTTCAGTCTGTAGTTGTGGAGGATATTGCTTCACTGGCCCAAGCTGGCGCCATCATTGCGCTCTTCCTGGGAGAGGCAGATCAGTCACTGGCTTCTGGATGGCCGCTCACGGTGGCTGCTGGCCACTCACGCTGGCTGCCGGCTACACACGGTAGCTTATGGCAGCCCACTGCAGCAGGGGACTGCAGCCTATGCTGTCTCCGGCGACCCACGGCAGCCCAGCCCCAGGTCAAGTTGCCGTTTACCAGCTTAGCTGCAGAGGGCAGTGTCACTGGCCCTCATATGTGGGATCCGAAACAGGGCCCTGCTGCCCAAGCTGGCGTCCCAAGCCAGCTCTTAACCACCGCACCACTTGGCCGGCCCTCCCTATGTTTTTCTTAACATTTTCTTTTCCCTAGCTTACTTTTTTGTAAGAATACAATATATAATGCTTGTGCAAAATATGTGTTAATCGTTTATGTTATCGATAAGGCTTTGGTCAACAGTAGGCTATTATTAGTAGTTAAGTTTGGGGGGAGTCGAAAGTTATATGCAGATTTTTGACTGAGCAGGGAGGATCGGCACCCCTAACCCCCACATTGTTCAAGGGTCAACTGTATTGTATAATCATAGTTATTAAGACAGTTTGGTGTTGGTAGAGGGATAAAAACATAGATTGGTGAAACAGAATAGAGAACCCAGAAATAGACCCACACAAGTACAGTGAACTGATTTTTTTACAAAGGTGCAAAGCATTTTAATGGTAGAAAGATAACCTTTTCAATAGTTGGTATTGGAGCAACTGGACATCTTCAGGGGAAAAATGAATCTGAACATAAACCTCACACCATACAAAAATTAACTTAAAGTGGATCATAGACTTACGGAAAATATCAAGTATAAAACTTGTAGAAGCAAATAGGAGAAAATTCAGGACCTAAGGCTAGGTGAAGAGTTCCTAACATTACACCAAAAGCACAATTCATAAAAGAAAAAAAATCAATAAATTGGACTAAACCAAAATTAAAAACTTCTGCTCTGTGAAAAGATCCTGTTAAGAGGATGAAAACACAAGGAGAAAATATTTATAAACCCCAAAGAACTCATGTAGAATAATATAGAACTCTCAAAATTGAATAGTAAAAAAACCCAAACAGGGCCGGCTGAGTGGCACGTTGGTTAAGAGCTGGCTTAGGACGCCAGCTCTGAGCAGCAGGGCCCCAGTTCGGATCCACATGAGGGCCAGTGACACTGCCCTCTGCAGCTAAAATGGTGAACAACAGCTCGACCTGGAGCTGGGCTGCCATGAGCCGCCATCAACGGCGTAGGCTGCAGCCCCTGCTGCAGTGGGCTGCCATAAACTACCGTGAGCAGCCAGCAGCCGGTGTGAGCTGCCAAGCGCTGCCGTGAGTGGCCGTCCAGAGGCCAGTGACTCATCTGCCTCACCCAGGAAAACTGCAATGATAATACCAACAGGGGCTAGTGAAGCGACATCCTCCACAACTAGACTGAAGAACAAAAGAACAGCAACTTGTCTGTTCCCCTTCCCCGATTCCCCAATGAAATCTTTAAAAAAAACAAAACCTAAATAGGCCAATTAGGAAATGGGCAAAAGATTATGAACACAAATGGCAGATAAGTACATAGGCATATGAAAAACATCATTAACCATTGGGGAAATATTAACTGCTAGGGAAATGCAAATTAAAAACTTGATGGTGAGAGATCACTACACACCTACTAAAACAGCTAAAATAATGAGACGACAGTACTCACAGAAGGATTTGAGGATGCAGAGAAACTATCTCATCATACATGATAAGACTAGTGAGAACTTAAAATGGTATGGCCACTCTGAAAAATAGTTCGGCAGTTTCTTCAAACACTAAACATAGACTTACCATATACAACCCAGCTGTTGCACTCCTGGACATTTATCACAGAGAATTACAACTTTATGTCCACACAGATATGTGTACAGCTTTGTTGGTAATAGCCCCAAATTGGAAACAACTCAAATGTCTTTCAGTGGGTAAGTGGTTAACAAACTGTGGTATATCATACCATAGAATACAGTACTCCTCAATAAAGAAAGAAACTGTTGACATATGCAACAACTTAGATTGATCTCAAAGGACTCATGCTAAGTAAAAAAATGCAATCTTTAAATGTTACATACTGTATGATTCCATTTATATAGCATTCTTGGAATGATAAAATTGTAGAGGTGGAGAATTGTAGAGGTGTTAGGGGAAGAGTGTGGTGACTAAAGGGCGAGCACAGAGGATCTTTGTGGTGATAGAACAGGTCTGTAACTTGATTGTGTTGGTTGCATGAATCTACACATGATAAAATGCCTACAAGTGCACATATCCACATAGATGAGTACCTGTAAAACAGG